CAAAACTCCCCAAAAAAATTCCCAGGGGGAATCTCCCCCGGAATCCTTCCCGGAATTCCCAGGAATCCCTTTCCCGGGTGGACCATCCGGAATTCCCAGGGAATCTCCCCCGGATCATCTGGAATTCCCAGGGAATCTCCCTCTGGAATCCTTCGTGGATCAGCCAGAATTCCCTGGGAATCTCCCCCAAATCCTTCCCGGAATTCCCTGGGAATCTCCCCCAAATCCTTCCCGGAATTCCCTGGGAATCTCCCCCAAATCCTTCCCGGAATTCCCTGGGAATCTCCCCCAAATCCTTCCTGGAATTCCCTGGGAATCTCCCCTGAATCCTTCCCGGAATTCCCTGGGAATCCCCACCCAAATCCTTCCTGGAATTCCCTGGGAATCTCCCCTGGACCATCCGGAATTCCCAGGGAATCTCCCCCTGGAATCCTTCCCGGAATTCCCTGGGAATCTCCCCTGGAATCCGTCCCGGAATTCCCTGGGAATCTCCCCCGAATCCTTCCCGGAATTCCCTGGGAATCTCCCCTGGATCATCCGGAATTCCCTGGGAATCTCCCCTGAATCCTCTCCCAGAATTCCCAGGAATCCCTTTCCCGGGTGGATCATCTGGAATTCCCTGGGAATCTCCCCCGAATCCTTCCCGGAATTCCCAGGGAATCTCCTCTGGAATCCTTCCTGGAATTCCCTGGGAATCCCCACCCAAATCCTTCCCGGAATTCCCTGGGAATCTCCCCCGGAATTCCCGGGAATCCCTTTCCCGGGTGGCCCACCCGGAATTCCCGGTGTTTTTCCGCAGGGCCCCCGATCATCTCCAGCGAGCCGGTGCAGTACGCGGCGCGCGGCGACCCGGTGCAGTACGCGGCGCGCGGCGACCGCGGCAAGGTCGAGTGTTTCATCGGCAGCACGCCGCCGCCGGATCGCATCGTGAGTGCCAAAACTGCACTTTGTACAGATGTTTTATATCAATTTATATCTTTTTATATAAATTTATATTTTTTATATATATATGTGAGTGACGAAACCTCGCTTTATCTAAGTATTTTATATTAATTTGCATTTTTTATATGAATTTATATTTTTTTATATATATGGGAGTGCTGAAACCTCACTTTGTACAAATATTTTATATTAATTTATATATTTTTATATAAATTTATATTTTTTTATGCATATGTGAGTGCCAAAACCTTACTTTGTACAAATATTTTATATCAACTTGTATTTTTTAAAATAATTTTTTATTTTTTTATATATATGGGAGTGCTGAAATCTCCTTTTAGATAACTATTTTATATTAACTTGTATTTTTCATATGAATTTATATTTTTTTATTTTATATATATGGGAGTGCTGAAAACTCATTTTATATAAATATTTTATATTAATTTGTATTTTTCTGTATAAATTTATATTTTTTTATGTATATGTGAGTGCCAAAACCTCACTTGGAACAAATGTTTTATATCAATTTATAACTTTTTATATGAATTTATATTTTTATTTTATATATGGGAGTGCTGAAACCTCATTTTATATAAATATTTTATATTAATTTGCATTTTTTAATGTAAATTCATATTTTTTTATGTATATGTGAGTGCCAAAACCTCACTTTGTACAAATATTTTATATCAATTTATATCTTTTTCTATAAATTTATATTTTTTTATATATATGGGAGTGCTGAAACCTCCTTTTATATAAATATTTTATATTAGTTTGTATTTTTTTATATGAATTTATATTTTTTTATATATATATGGGAGTGCCAAAACCTCACTTTGTACAAATATTTTATATTAATTTGTATTTTTTATATGAATTTATATTTTTTTTATACATATGGGAGTGCTGAAACCTCATTTTATATAAATATTTTATATCAATTTGTATTTTTTTATATGAATTTATATTTTTTATATATATATGAGAGTGCAGAAACCTCACTTCGTACAAATATTTTATATTTGTATTTTTTTATGTAAATTTATATATTTTATTTTATATATGGGAGTGCTGAAACCTCATTTTATATAAATATTTTATATTAATTTGTATTTTTTTATGTAAATTTATATTTTTTTATGTATATGTGAGTGCCAAAACCTCACTTTGTACAAATGTTTTATATCAATTTATAACTTTTTATATGAATTTATATTTTTTTATATATATATGGGAGTGCTGAAATCTCATTTTATATAAATATTTTATATTAATTTGTATTTTTTTATATAAATTTATATTTTTTATGCATATGTGAGTGCCAAAACCTCACTTTGTACAAATATTTTATATTCATTTGTATCTTTTTATATAAATTTATATTTTTTAAAAATAATTTTGTATTTTTTTATATATATGGGAGTGCTGAAACCTCACTTTATATAAGTATTTTATATTAATTTGTATTTTTTATATGAATTTATATATTTTTTTATATATGGGAGTGCTGAAATCTCATTTTATATAAATATTTTATATGAATTTGTATTTTTTATATAAATTTATATTTTTTTATATGTATGGGAGTGCTGAAACCTCACTTTATTTAAGTATTTTTCATAAATTTGTATTTTTTTATATAAATTTATGTTTTTTTATATACATGTGAGTGCCGAAACCTCATTTTATATGAATATTTTATATAAATTTATATTTTTATATAAACAACACCTGAATCCCCATTCCCACGGCTGTCCCAGGCCTGGGCGTGGAAGGAGAACATTCTGGAAGCGGGATATAACTAAATTATTAACACTAATAACGACAAATAATTAATACATTAAAATAAAATAAACTAAAATTAAATTAAAATTCAATTAAAATCCCCCCTCACCCAATCCCCAGGCCTGGGCGTGGAAGGAGAACATTCTAGAAGCGGGATATAACTAAATTATTAACACTAATAACGACAAATAATTAATACATTAAAATAAAATAAATTAAAATTAAATTAAAATTCAATTTAAAATCCCCCCTCACCCAATCCCCATTCCCACGGCTGTCCCAGGCCTGGGCGTGGAAGGAGAACATTCTAGAAGCGGGATATAACTAAAATATTAACACTAATAACGACAAATAATTAATACATTAAAATAAAATAAATTAAAATTAAATTAAAATTCAATTAAAATCCCACCTCACCCAATCTCCATTCCCACGGCTGTCCCAGGCCTGGGCGTGGAAGGAGAACATTCTAGAAGCGGGATATAACTAAAATATTAACACTAATAACGACAAATAATTAATACATTAAAATAAAATAAACTAAAATTAAATTAAAATTCAATTAAAATCCCCCCTCACCCAATCCCCAGGCCTGGGCGTGGAAGGAGAACATTCTGGAAGCGGGAACGCTGGAGCGTTACACGGTGGAGAGGAGCAACACGGGCAGCGGCGTCCTGTCCACGCTGACCATCAACAACGTCATGGACGCCGACTTCCAGACGCGCTACAACTGCACGGCCTGGAACAGCTTCGGGCCCGGCACCGCCATCATCCAGCTGGAGGAGAAAGGTGGGCAGAGGTCTCCAGTTGGGATGGGGTTGGACATTTGGAATTCCTTCTGGAAAGGTCTTGGAAGGGTCTTGGAAAGGTCTTAGAAAGGTCTTGGAAAGGTCTTGGAAGGGTTGGGTTCTCCAGCCATGGAAGTTCCTTCTGGAAAGGTCTTGGAAGGGTTGGGTTCTCCAGCCCTGGAAGTTCCTTCTGGAAAAGTCTTGGAAGGCTTGGGTTCTCCTCCTGGAAGTTCCTTCTGGAAAGGGTTGGGTTCTCCAGCCATGGAAGTTCCTTCTGGAAAAGTCTTGGAAGGGTTGGGTTCTCCAGCCCTGGAAGTGTCTGAGAAACTCCGAAGTTCCTTCTGGAAAGGTCTCAGAAGGGTTGGGTTCTCCAGCCACGGAAGTTCCTTCTGGAAAAGTCTTGGAAAGGTCTTGGAAGGGTTGGGTTCTCCAGCCCTGGAAGTTCCTTCTGGAAAGGGTTGGGTTCTCCAGCCATGGAAGTTCCTTCTAGAAAGGTCTTGGAAAGTTCTTGGAAGGGTTGGGTTCTCCAGCCATGGAAGTTCCTCCTGGAAAGGTCTCGGAAGGGTTGGGTTCTCCAGCCATGGAAGTTCCTTCTGGAAAGGTCTCAGAAGGGTTGGGTTCTCCACTCCTGGAAGTTCCTTCTGGAAAGTTCTTGGAAGGGTTGGGTTTCTCCAGCCCTGGAGGTGTCCCTGGAGGTGTCCAAGGAATTCCTGCCAGGGCTGGATCTTTGGGATGATTCCCCATGGGAAAAGGGTCGGGAACCATCGTGAGGAGCTCGGGGAAGGTCGGACCCCCATCCCTGGAATCCCGGGAATCCCGGGATGACTCCGGGTGACCGGACCGGGCGCCTCCGGGACTCGCTGAGCCCAAACCCCATTTCCGCCTGCGGGATTCGGGGTGGGATTTTGGGGCTGGTGGCTCCTGTCCCCAACCGCTGTCCCCGCAGAGGTGCTGCCCGTGGGGATCATCGCCGGGGCCACCATCGGCGCCAGCGTCCTCCTCGTCGGCTTCCTGGCCGCCCTCGCCTGCGTCCTGTACCGGCGCCGCAAGGGAAGTGAGTCGGGGACACGCGGGGACACGCGGGGGACA